CTCACCGCGCGCCTCCCCGCAGCGCGAGGCGCCCTCGCCGACGCCCATGGAGACGTCGGGGTGCGCGCCCGCGGAGGAGGCGCTGTGCCAGGCCTTCTCCGATGTGCTGCTCCACGTGCCTGACGTGGACGGCAAGGACGGCGGCGACCCCAACCTCTGCAGCGACTACGTGAAGGACATCTACAGCTACCTGCGGGACCTTGAGGTTTGTGGCAGGGTCCCTCACCACAGAGGTCACCCTCTATCTTTAGCAAGATAAACAGGGGGTCTTTAGCAAGCACAAACAAGCAGCTCCTTAGCTTCAAATCCCCAAATAACTGACCAAACTCATAGCAGTGGTCATCATGGTCCCTGCAGTAGCCACTATCCAATGCACTAAGAAACCTCACACTGTCCCAGCTCCACGTGGTATGTTTATTCTAAGCGCCTGGATAAGCCTTGCCTTGGGATGGAGCACTGCAGATCTCTGCAATGCCCAGCCTCTGTCTGGCTCTCCTGTTAACCCCATTTCTTCCACACAGGAAAAACAAGCTATCAGACCCAAGTACCTGGCAGGCCAGGAAATTACAGGGAATATGCGAGCCATACTGATAGACTGGCTTGTGCAAGTGCAGATGAAGTTCAGGCTGCTGCAGGAGACAATGTACATGACAGTTGCCATCATTGATCGCTTCTTGCAGGTAAGTATTTCCCATTGGTGTTTCTCCCTCTAAACTAGAGCACAGTGAGCACCAGTAACATCACACACAGCTGGATTTGATAATCCCAACAAAAAGCCCCAGCAAAGATCTTTGTCTTGAACTGCACACACTGCTTACCTGTCTCAACAGTGACTTAACTTAGCAAAGCTCTTTCTCTCCCTGACTTTTGTCTCAATAGCCTGTCTGTAACCCAGCAGAGGTAACAAAATGCTGTACAGTTACTCCAACTGTGCCAGTGCATAGTAGGAAACTTGTGCTGGCCACTTTGGAAAACTTTGTGTGACCCGAGTCTCTCATTCTCACACAACTCTGCTCTCCTGTGCTGCAGGACAACGCTGTGTCCAAGAAGACATTGCAGCTGGTTGGTGTCACAGCTATGTTCATTGCCAGCAAGTATGAAGAAACATATCCCCCCGAAATTGAGGATTTTGCCTTCGTAACAGACCACACTTACACCAAGTCCCAGATCCGCCAGACGGAGATGAAGATCCTGGAAGCCCTGGACTTCAGTCTGGGTCGCCCCCTGCCCCTCCACTTCCTGAGGAGGGCTTCAAAAATTGCAGAGGTAATGCTGAGAGCAGCAGTGTCACTGTCGCTGTTATCACAAGGATGGAATGTTTACCCGCTGTGACTCCTTAAATCTTTGGGCCAAGTATTAGAACAACTTGAGACCTGAGTCCTAGGCCCTAGGGACCTAGTCTGAAATATGAGCCCTTGTAAAGTGGGGCCTTGCTTTTCTGCTCTCTCTCACTTGGGCCTAGCCCAGCCAAGCCAGAGCTAAAACACCTGCCTGGTACATGCACAGGATTGTCAGGCTGCTGCTGAAAGGAACAGTCCTAAGCTATGAGCAGCTTTACACTAATCAAAATGGCTCAGTGATGAAAGCCATTTCAATTTCCACTTTGAAAAATATTTGCTAAGGGTGTGTTTTTTTTGCCAGATGAAACGGAGGCAGCTGAGCCAAGTTATGCTTGACACAATGATTTTGCCTGGGGGACAACACTCAACTTGGATTTATTGCAGGTGGACTGGGAACAGCACACACTGGCCAAGTACTTGATGGAGTTGTCCATAGTGGACTATGAAATGGTTCATTTCCCTCCTTCTAAAACTGCGGCTGCTGCTTCCTGTTTGGCTCTGAAAGTTCTTGATGGAGGCGAGTGGGTAAGTTGTGCTTGTCAGACACCACTTCAGAGAGGAATCAGGGCAATACCTGTTTCCTGTCAGGAAGCCTGCAGCTGTCTAAGCCCCGTGGAGTCTGTCATCTAACAAGCTCCAATTGCTCTAGCAGCACCACCTAATGATGGCGCTTTCTTTCAGACACCAACTCTACAACACTACATGGCTTACACTGAGAACGATCTTCTTCCAGTCATGCAACATATGGCAAAGAACATAATCCTGGTGAATCGGGGCCTCACCAAGCACATGGTAAATAACTTCCACCTGGTAAAGTTGAGGCAGGCACCTGGATAAGTGTCCATATGTGGTTGTGACTTGCGTTGCTGATGCTTGTACCAGACCTTCTGGCTTCAGCTGAGAGGTCTCTTTCTTGTCAGAGCAGTATTAAGATGACAGTAATTTACTGAATCCCAGACCTGTTCTGGATTCATTGGCCTGGCTAGTACCTGGAGGGTGCCAGGAGAGTGCAATGTTACTGAGCAGGCTAAGTTTAATCCAACTCTCTCTTTGCAGACGATCAAGAATAAATATTCCAGCACCAAAAGTGGCAAGATAAGCACTATTGCACAGCTCAACTCCACGGTCATACACAACCTAGCCAAGCCTCTAGCCAAAGCGTTGTAACTTGGGCACCATGTGCCACTGTGTACATAGTTTATCTTATTTGCGTGCTTAAAGCTTTAAATAAAGCATTTTATTGCTTTTTAATTTATGCTGTTGTACTTCAGTGCTTTGGGCTGCTCCTTTCCCTCTGGCAGCTCCTGGCCCGTGCTGAGCCCTTGGGATGGCTCTCCTGGAAGTGCTGTTATTGCTGCAGCACACCTTTAATGGGGTGTTGCTACTTAGCTAAAATACCAATTTGCTGCAGCTTCCTCTTGCACTTCTGTCTGAAAATAGCTGCAGTGAGGCCGGGCTGTGGTGCCTCCTGGGTGGGCCGGGCGGCAGCTCCAAGTAATAGTCCGCGGGTAGGGTAGCTCGGGGTTCTGGGGCCAAGCTCAAGGGCAAGATGGCATCCAGGCCCGCAGAGCGGGTGAGGACACGACTCCTGCAGGCCGTGTGAGGCCCCGCGGCTCCCG